TAAAAACCCATCCCAAAAGCTAAACATCGTATTAAGAGATAAGATAATTTCTTTAGAAGCAATGCAAGAGTGTTATGAAATATCAGTACACTTATATAGCAGTGAATGCTGGATGGCGTCGATAATGGCAACCAAGATGATTTATGGAAGGATGCTGAGTTTACCATGTGTAGCAACGAAGAAGTTTTAAGGAAAATGGAAACAAATATAACGATTATACTTAGAACCATTTCAATTTTCTATGGAAGTTAATCTATAAAGAAGGCTTGGTGAAATAGAGACACACATTCACAGTAGATATTGAAGGCAAGAGAGACAGTTGGAAACACCATGTAACCTGTTTCGTAAGCTTGTATACATGGAACAGAGAGTGAGCGAGTAAGGAAACAAATATCTCTTAGAGCTTAAGAAGGATAGGAAACTGTGGAGACCCGTGATCACCTACAATCTGAAGACACAGAACAAAAACAAAATAACTGTAGAAAGCAAAGAACAAAGACAAAATAAATGTACCCGTTCGACTGGAATTTTGTTTTTCGTGGTGTCATTTTCTCATTTTTCCAATAGCAGACCTTTCTTCTGAAGACCTTCCTTATTTGTTTTCATTTAATAACACCTGGAGTTTTATGAAATGGCGTTTATCTTTGACGTGCACCGTACTTAATCATGTATATCTCTTAATTATTAAAATGGCTGAAAAGGCCAAGAGGCAAAGATCCGATGAAATGTCTTTGCTCGAAGAAAGCAATCATGCATCCGTTTTGCTTGTAATTACGAATCCACTTTTCCTGCTTGTTGTAAAAGTTTCCGATCATTACGCTTTTATCATTTAGATTGGACTTATTAAATTCTGCCATTCCTTTTCTTGATATTTTTGAGATTATGGCTTGCTTCTGGCATTTATTTCGTAGTTGATATTTCACAGCCCTTAAGTCCCGTTTGATAGTTAAAGACAGATACGATCGATCGCAGTTGTCCTAGAGCTGAAAGCGACCTTTCTTTGATAGACTGACAGATATTGGGACAACATGGAACGGTTTTTAAAATGAGCATATTACAGAAACTTTTTGGCAATTTCATTCACAAAAATGAACGACTGCAAATTCAGTTACCCATTATGTGACTCTATTAGGGATTTATTTCAGGAATGAAGATTGAAATGAAGGCGGATTTTTTAATGTTTATTTTTGCTGTTGACATTTTAAATTGAATTAATTAATCGTTAAATTATCTACCCGAGGGCAAGCTGCAAGAAACATCGTATTATTCAAATGCAAATCTTTTTTTTTTTTCAAATAAAGACCTTGACAAAATGTTTACGTCCTTATTTGTCAGAAAATGACGTAATTCCGTACGAATTAAATTGACTCTCTATTTTAATTTCAAAATTATTTATCGGAAAAATCATAACCGGTTTCATAAATCGATGCATTTAATTGATTTTTAAATTAATTTTTTTTTATGAAAAGAGGTTATTTTTCTTATTATCTATTTTCAACTCAGTGCAACTGCTAATATTTTTTTTAAACTGAAAACCCACTAAAACTATCAAATTTGGAAAGACGCAACATCCATATACACAAAAGCTGTTTTTGTTGTATAAAAAGGTGAATAATACGATTTTTTAAAAAAATTCATTGCCATCTTAATTTCTCGGCTATTTCTAAAATATAATGTTAATCTAAAAACTGATATCTCTGTTATTTTTCGCACTGTCCCGCCAAAAGCACGTATTGCACAGTCTGGTTATTCGATTTACGAACATTTTATTTAATTGTAGAAACTTTGCCTTCAATGAGTTTTGCAGGAATTTCGGTCTTAATAATAGGTTTCTTTTCCTAGACCGATGTCTTGTACATAAACGTACCACAAATTTAGAATTCTCCATTATATATATACTAGCAGCATGGCTCGGCGTTGCCCGTGCTTGATTCAAAAATCGTACTACTCATACAGCAATCGCTATCACTTGACTTAAAATATTTTTGCCCTTCCTTGCCTTTAAAGGAGTGCCCTTTGCCGTGCTGGTGTTGCTACATGCCTTACTTCTTGCCTATCTCACACTGCGAAGTTTTTCTAAGCTCTATATTAAACATTAAATCTGTTACGAAAAAAGAACTAAACAAAATGAACACAAAACGATCAGCGTTAAAAAAGGACTCGTAACTGGAAAAACCGAATGAAAAAGAATGTTAACAACAAATAATTTTTCACACCGAACCCAGTTCTGCGGAATCAGAATCAACGTTGAGTTTAAGCGAGTGAATGAGCCAATTGGAGTAAAGTGCCATGCAGATTTCAATTTTTCCCACTTGTGACGAATGCAGATATCGATTTTTTTTGCATGCTAGCATGCTAGTTAACATTCGTGTCAGTCAGCTGTTGGCTCTTATGCTGCCCAATAGAATCTTCCTGCCTATTCGTGGGAGCCAGCTATTGGCTCTCACGCTGGCCAGTAGAAAATGGCCGCAAACTACATGAAAACTGCCGTAGAAGCATGAAAAAATCGATTATTTCCACTACCGATTGGAGTTGGGAAATGCAAAGTCGGTCTTGGCCTTCCGGCTAACTTGGAGCATGTGCATGTAAATTATATATGATAGAAATTAGGATGATTTGGGATAATTATAATTAAGTAATTCATCGAATGTAGAAGAAAATAGAAAACTCATCAGAATTCAGAAAGCTCTGGACGGCCGTTTCGTCCTATATTTAAGGATCAGCAGCAGTGCGCATCCACTATTGAGTTTTTCCAATACCGAGAATTGAAACCCGGACAGTTACGATATCACGCAAACATCATACCAACTGTTCTAATAGGCCTCAGGGACGAAGAGGTAGCGAATCAGACTCGACACAGCGCCGCTCGATCACATATTCCCATCATATTTACTCACTTTTGTTTATTAGTCAATAAATTGCATCACTTAGCGTTATCCATATATCATCTTTCCTTACACAGGTAACTTTAAAAATATTTTCGAGCTCATCTCAGATTTAAAATTTGTAATTAATATTTTTCCTCCACTTTCCTATGTAAAAATGCAAGTAACAAAATAAAATGTTCATTATTTTTTTCTCCTTTCACTTTAATCGTCCTAGGTATGACGATAAACTACATCCGCGTCCTGGTTAAGACGATAAACTACGTCCAACAGCAAGGCCTCTGATCAGGAGGTTTTGAGGAGCGTGGAGCTACCTCTTAATTGCTGGCGTTCCCAGGTCCATCCTGACCCAGGGTGGTTGCACCTGTTAGGGTCCCAGCGATGGGCAAATAGTTAACACCCAAACTTGTGTAAAAATAGGTTTTAATACCAGAAAAACTTTGCAATAAAAAAAATATTACCAGCAATAATTTTTGAAGGAAAAATTATCATCAGCAATACTTTAAAAAAAAATACAAACAGTTATACATTTTTTTGAAAAAAATATGACCAGCTATAGATTTCTTCAAGGAAATTATTTTTTTGGAGAAAAATATATTATCAGCAATAAAAAATTTTGTCGGCGTTAAGTAACCCATTGAGGTAGATATGCCTTAAACCAAACCAAACCAAACCTTTCAATTTAAATAAAAAAAACTGCATATAAACATCCGACAGACAGGATTATAATATACGTGGCATCAGTGTCTCGAAGAGGGTTCCATGAGGTCAAGGCGCGATCAAGACTTTTGTTTTGAAGCATATAAGTAAACACACAAAAATATTTAATCAATTCCTCACTTAACGACTTACTTACTGTTTAATAACCCCGGATTTACGACTAGCTCTAAAATCTCATAAAATCCAGTTAGTCAAAAAGTTCGTTCGTTTTAATGGACAATTTTCGTGATGTTGCATAGCCCTCTGCTGGGGGTGGCCTCATCTAGTCTCCATTCGTCTTCTAACCCCGGCTGACGATCGGTAATTGTTTTGGTTCAGCACTGAAAGACTTCAAACACAGATAATTTTAACTTAACAATTTTTATTACTCATGACGACATGTACATTATCTAATTATTCAGTGGGAGGTCGTCCTCACCTCCTCACTGGGGAGCCGTTTTGAACACAAAAGACAACACTTGGCGGGTAAGTAGCAACTCCCTAAAACCCTTCTCCTATCTATCTGTTGTAGCATGCCTACAGACGAAAATGGATATGTCGCCATTCACATAAATACAGTAGTAAATACTGTATGTTGACCTGAAGTTGGAGATTCGTCTCCAGCTGTGCTGGTCAAACTCTCTGCCTCCGGGCAGAGAGGATTCCCAGACGAGGCTACGTAAAAGGACAGAGTCGCAATTCGGCGAAACAGCTACCCTACACCGTTTTATACGGGGTTTACGGGAAAGTTTTGGCTGAGCCTACGGGCTCGGATACCCCACGTTAAATTCGGCCTAGTGCCACATCTGACGGCGTGGGGTGGTTGATGGATATCCTGCAGTTGAACATTCATTGTGGAATTCACTTGACTCACTTCTAGCAGTTGACTACATCTTCTAGGCGTCGCTGGCGAATCTTATATGTGTTGTTCTTGTACTAAGTATCATCGTTCGTTATCAACCTTCGTGTGAAATTTTCTATTCAGTAACCTTCCCTAGGTTACAACACTATCTTTCCCACGCTAGTTCAGCCAATTCAAATCGACTTCCCTATTATGGCTCACATCTGACCCCAGCTGTCAACTTCCGGATGTCGGAGCCGAGATACAATTCCCCTGAAAATAATAGCCTGCTAAACTGTTATTTAAAAAGTAATAAACTGAAGGAACTTTTTGACCAATACCTTAGGCGGGAACTTTGGTCGTGTTTGCACAGAATATACAGTTGAGTTTCGAAAATTTTCGGTGCGTTTACTGTTACTGTTTGCGTTTACTCATCAGTCAAGTGCCATTAATCCTGCGGGACTGAAATTTAGGGTAGCCAATCGCAAGTGTCGGAGGAGACTATGCCGTCAGGCCATTAAAAGATTTTAAAACTCGCCAAACTCAAGACCAGGAATTTCGCTGGAAACATCGTCATGATCGTCTGGTGCTTCGGCCAACACCACCAGATATTGGCATTCAGAGTGCAACATGTCGACCGAAATGTGCGTCTCACTTAGTCCTTCGCAGCCATCAATGTCAACACAGTATCATCAACTAGTGCATTCTTCAATTCTCATTCTTCTCACACATATATATATATATATATATATATATATATATATATATATATATATATATATATATATATATTCTTATTTTGTGGACGTCGTCTTTGTTACTATTATTATTATACTTGATACACGCTTAGTCGATTATGTCTCTTTCGATTCATGACTGACAAGGCAGATATTCCCACAGTAGGTGGCCATTTCTTTCTGCTGTAGACTCGTTGACAACCAATATTAGAGGACCCAGTTTATCCTGATAGTCAACCCATAAATAGTGGTGGGGGAGAAGAGAGGAAGAGGAGGGAAGAAGAGAGGGAGAGGAGGGGAGAAGAGGTGATTTTCCCCAAGGCTATTTACACGAAAGTGTATGTTCATTATGCTACTGTAAATTATAAACAATTAGAACTAAATTAGACATGTTACAAATGTATAATTAAAAGTTATGCCTGAAATAGCTACCAAGCAAGACTTTTCACTCGTTGAACGAGCAGGTCGTTGGAACAGAAACAGGTCGTTATGTGAAGAACGGGAGTAATTAATAGTCAGCCACAGAAATCAGAACCAGCTAAGTGTCAGGTCTGTGCGCATGGAGCAGGTGACACGACATTGCCGACGAAATAACTTTTCATTTCCCGTTAACTATTTTTATAATTTTACTAACTACAATTTCGCTTGAATTAAAAAGACAAACAGAAAACAATATTTAAAGAAACTTGAGTAGTTGCTTCAGCAGTCCTACCACTAAGCTCATGAACACCTGCCCACAAAGATAAGCAGTGTTGTTCTATTAAACTTACTTCATTAAATACGAGAACCAGAAAACATGAAAATCAATACAACATTATTAAGATTTAATTCGCCTGCGGACATATCAAGTTAAAACAGCGGTTCCCGTACGATCATCAAAGTTAAGTAACTTCGAGCTTGGTTAGAATCTAGATGGGTGACCGCTTGAGAATACCAGGTGCTGCAAGCTTGGATGTGAAAGTGGTGCAATGGGTGATGACTCGGGATTATTAATCGGAGAGCCGGGTTTTCAATTCCAGTTTCGTTCTGTATATTCACTTACGCGCAGATATCATTAGGAAAGGTATGTATCCACCTTTTCTCCTCCCTAATCTATGGGTTAATTAGTAAGACTTGTATCACTAAATCATTATTATCGCCCCTAAATTCTTACAATCTAAAAAATTTTCTGGCATTAAATAACCTACAAACGGTTGATACGCCGTAAAAACGAATCAATCATAAAATTTTATTGAATTCGCTAATCAAACTGAATAAGTTTTAATTTACAATAAAAAAAAGTGACAGGATAAACTTAAATGTGAAGATGTGAATTTTAAAGTAAATCAATATGGCGTCCATCGATATTTCTTCCTTGAATCTTTTTTCTTCTTTTTGTTCTTCTTCTCTTCCTCTTTCTTTTTAGTTCCTACACTTTTTTTTTGGCTTCTTCCTTTCATTTCTGCCTTACACCTTCCATCTTTTACTGTTTCTCTCATTCTTTCTTTTCCATATTCCTTCTTTCCTTACACATATTTTCTTTTTCCCCACCTTTTCTTCTTTCCCTTCTTCTTTTCGTCTTCTTGGCCCTCATTCACCTTTTACTGTTACCCTGGATCCTTTTATTCATTCTGCTGTTATCGGTATCGCTTTCCTTTTCTTCTTTTTTTTCTTTTCTCCGCTCTTTCTTTTGTTTGTTTCATTTTTTTTGCCACTTCTTTCCTTCCTTTTTTCCTTCCTTCCTTTGCGCTTTTTCCATCATTCACTCTTTCTTTCTTTCTTTCTTTATTTATTTATTTCTTTATTTATTTATTTCCTCTGGTTTTTATTCTTCCCTTCTTTCTTTCCATTCTGGCTTTTTTATTTACCCCCACTTTCCTTCAGTCTTGACTCTCTTCTATAAATTTATTCTTTTCTTCTTTCTTTCTTTTCTTTATTCCATCATTAAGTATTTGCTCCCTTTTTTCCTTCCTTTCTTCCTTGATACATTCACTCATTTATTCTTTTCGGTCGTTCTTCTTTCATTTCTCAGCTTTTACCTTTTCATCCTCTCTTTCTCTCAATATTTACTTCTTCCTTCCTTTATTTATTCGTTGCTTCATTTTTTCTTTTTCCTTCCTTTACAATTTCCTTCATTTTTCTTCTCTTCATTCATTGTTCCTATCGTCTGCTCCTTTCACCATCCTCTTCCGCTTTTCTTCTTCCCCCCTCATTTACTCGATTTTTACTTCCTTTCTTTTTTTTTTATTCTTTTCTTCCTTCCTCCTACCCACTTTTAGCTTAACAAATTTCTTCACCATTTTCTTTCATTCTCTTTACTTGTTTCTTTATACGTTCTTTCCTTCTTTTTTTCCGTTCTTTTTTTTTTTCCTTTTCCTCATTACTTACTCTTCCTTCTTGTTTTTCCCTGTATTTTCTTTCTTTCTCCCCGATTCTCATCTATCTCTTTCCTTCAGTATATCCTTCTATCTAATCACTTCCTATATCTGTTCTGTAATCCCCGCCAAGCGTTAGGAAAGTAAAAGAAATGTCCAGAGCTTGCACACACGAGGATTGCGGCTGAGAGAAATCAAAGTCATATTGCTACAAACTTGATTTTCCGCCTCCAACTTGTCATTTCAGAGTTGGCATTTTTAGATATTAATCTCAACACCTTTTTCTTCTCAGGATATTCCAGCTATCTAATTAATTTCAAAACTATAACGTGATTTAATCACTCCGCATTCCAGTCTGCAATTTATATTTCTCTCTAAAGTACCAGCCGTTAATTAATAAATTAATTACTATGTTTTAATTTATTTGTAAATGCGATGCTCAGAATTTGTTTCTGGCCAAAATAGATAAGATTTCTGTTAGTAATTAAGTGGGAATTATAAGTTGCGAGATGAAGAGCAAAGAAGATTCATGGGCAATGTTAGAGCGGCTTGTTAACCATTACCAGAAACGACTGAAAAATCCAAAGACAAACATGATGTAAAAATCTATCGATTTCAGTGATTGAAAAATTTTCATATTCATCGGCAGTAAACAGCAGCTAATTGGATCAAATTAATAATTTAAAACACACACGTTATATATATATATATATATATATATATATATATATATATATATATATATATATATATATATATATATATATATATATATATATATATGTAATAAGTGTTTTACCATTTAAAAAAAACTAAGGATAGGCTTTTTATGAATTGTTTACAAATGCGAGTGATTTTTTTTTTTTTCCCATATTTCATCCATTTTTTATTTTTATCGTTTTATGATTCTTTCATAATTACTACTCAAACAAATCTTCATTTTAAAAGTAAGAAGTGTTTTTACCGATTGAGCCTATAGACTATATGACGGTTCCGTATAGGATACAGGTTCGATTCCTGTCGGAGGACGCATATTTTCTATGAAAATTTCTCGGACATTCAGGCCGATAAATGTTGTTAATACTGTTTATTATAAACAGAGCATTTACTTAAATATTTGTATCTATAAAAAGAACGTATAAACATAAAAAAATGTCTTAAAATAATTGTCGGACTTTGTCCATTTCATATATATATATATATATATATATATATATATATATATATATATATATAGTTGTGGACAGAATTACTCGCTCCCACTGAATATTTGCATATTTTCTATTTTACCATAAAGTGTTCATTCCGTATTTAGTTTTGAATAATTCGTGGAATATTTAGATGTTTCGATCTATTATATTCACTCTTACAGATTTTACTAAAAATCCGTGCAGCCCAAAATTATTCGATTATTATTATTATTGGAAATTATGAAATAATATTGCTCTATGCCAATTGTAGTGTTTTTTTTTTCTTAATTTGACATTTAATACGAACAACTTGTTACCCAAGGAAAATTCATTTTCTTAAAGCTAAACGGATTAGTTTATACCAGAAGCCATCTAGAACATGGGAGTAAATATCGGAAATCTGTTTTATTGTTAGATGAAATCAAACTAGAATTATTTGGTCACAGGAACTCTTGTTATGTATGGAGGAAAGTGAATGAAGCTCACGGACCAAAAAATGCCCTCACTATAATAAATCACGGTGGTTGTAGCATTATCCTCTGGGAATATTTTGCTGCTTCTGGACCAAGAGAACTAGTGAGAGTACATTGTATCATCGATAAAGTTCAGTATTTAGCTATTCTTAATATAATATAAAACAAAGTACACGAAAGTTGTCTTTGGGGCGTCAATGGACATTAGAACATGGCAATGACTCGTAACACATAGCACGAATAGTTACGAAATACTTAAATGACAGCAAAATTAAGGTATTGGCGTAACAAAAAGCCTTGTCCTAAACCCCACTGAAAAGTAAGGTATTGACTTACCCCGCATAAAGTTCTGGCTTAAACTCTAATAAAAATGAAGGTATTGGCGTACCCCGCATAAAGACCTGGCCTAAACTCTACTGAAAATTAAGGTATTGGCGTACCCCGCATAAAGACCTGGCCTAAACTCTACTGAAAATGAAGGTATTGGCGTACCCCGCATAAAGACCTGGCCTAAACTCTACTGAAAATGAAGGTATTGGCGTACCCCGCATAAAGACCTGGCCTAAACGCTACTGAAAATGAAGGTATTGGCGTACCCCGCATAAAGACCTGGCCCAAACGCTACTGAAAATTAAGGTATTGGCGTACCCCGCATAAAGACCTGGCCTAAACGCTACTGAAAATTAAGGTATTGGCGTACCCCGCATAAAGAGCTGGCCTAAACGCTACTGAAAATTAAGGTATTGGCGTACCCCGCATAAAGACCTGGCCTGAACGCTACTCAAAATTAATGTATTGGCGTACCCCGCATAAAGACCTGGCCTAAACGCTACTGAAAATTAAGGTATTGGCGTACCCCGCATAAAGACCTGGCCTAAACGCTACTGAAAATTAAGGTATTGGCGTACCCAGCATAAAGACCTGGCCTAAACGCTACTGAAAATTAAGGTTTTGGCGTACCCCGCATAAAGACCTGGCCTAAACGCTACTGGAAATTAAGGTTTTGGCGTACCCCGCATAAAGTCCTGGCTTAAACACCAGTGAAAATTTATGGGAATAATTGGATAAAAACTATGAGAAAGAAGTCCTTTGAATTTGGAGGAACTAGAAGCCATTGCCAAGGAATAATGGATCACCAATCAGTGTCTGTAGTGATCATGTAAGGAACTATGAAAAATGATTAAAAGAATAAAGGTTACACAATTCATTATTAAAGCAAGAGGTACAATAATTTTATCCGCGTTAAATTTTGTTTGGTATATTTTATATGATTGTATGATATTAAAATAAAAGTTTTCTTGTGGGCATGATTGCACATTCTTTCAAATCCATTATTTCACCATTTGTGAAAAAATATAATTAATGTTTCCATGAAACGTTAACATATTACAAATTTATATGTAATTATGGAAGTGAGTGAATAATTCTCTGCTCAACTGTATATATATATATATATATATATATATATATATATATATATATATATATATATAATTATTTTTAAAAATATGATTCCTTCGCTACATAAGAGTTTTGATGTTTCAAAACAAGAGCCAAAACCTCAATATAATTATTAAAATTAAATTGAATTAAAGTATCAAGCCCTGTTTCATCCTCAAGCGAAAATTTAAGAATAAGCAATCTTGAAATTTACGCATCTTATCTGCACACACACACACACACACACACACACATATATATATATATATATATATATATATATATATATATATATATATATACTAAGAACAACCAAAATAATTAAAAGAAAATTCCAATCTAAAAACCTGAAAAAACTTTAACCTCATCTAAATTTAACCACCACACAATACAGGGAGTCACAAAATGCAACACAAAAAGTTGTGGAGTGTGTGACATCATTATAGAAGGAAACTCCTACCTTTTTAAAAACCCCAAAACGACATTCATAATAAATAAAAATTTAAACTGCAACTCCAAAAATGTGATTTATGCAATCCGATGCACAAAATGCAAGTCATATATTGGTATCAGCCAACAACTAAACAACAGGGTCTCCATCCACAAAAGCAATATACAATTACCAGGCACCAGAAACTCTTTGTATCACAACACATCTATAAATGTAACCAGGGTGAATTTAAAATTATGTCAATATATCAAACAGACAATTATTCTTACCTACAAATACAAGAATAAAACTTCATAAAAATTTTCTAACCAGCATTAAATAGATCATACCCCCAGCACACACGCATAAAAAAAAAATATGCACACATAATGGCCAAATATGTATATGTTTCACCCCAAAACTGCCTGTCAGCGTATTACTTAAACATAGTGCTTTAAGTAATTATGGAAGAGGATTAATAATTCTGTCCTAACTGTATGTATGTATATCTATCTATCTATCTATCTATCTATCTATCTATATATATATATATATATATATATATATATATATATATATGTATGTATTTCAGTTGTATGGAAATGAGTTTGTGACCCTGGGTTTCATGTTTTTGCGATCATCAGACAAACAATATATATGCGAGTGGGGGGGTGCGCGTTTGTTTCGGTGTGTGTATTAGGATGTTTGAAAATGAATGATGTTTTACCAGATATAAAAACAAATATAAGTGAAATATATCAGGATTGTAATGACCTTTAAGTTAAAAAAATACAGTTGAACACATTTTCTGTTGTTTTCATTGACTGCTTTTTTTTTAAGGCTTATCAGCCTTTTGTTCGTTATATGCAGGCAAATCATATTTTGGGATTCTAAGAATAATTTTTTGAAGAAAAAATTATTACCAGCAATAGATCATTGCTAGCAATACTTTTTTTTAGAAAGACTATTACCAGAAATACTTTTTGAAAAAAAATATTATCGGCAATAAAAAATCTTGTTGGCATCAAATAATCCATTGAGGTTGATATGCCGTAAAACAAACCAAACCAAACTAAGCAACGTTGGGCCTGGTCAATAACTTGATGGGTGGCTGTTTGGGAATACCATGTGCTCTAAGCATGGATATAGGGATGGTTTAATGGATAATGACTAGGAATTGTTAATTGGAGAGCCGAGTTCCACGTCTCGTTGCCTTCGTTATATTTACTTACACGTAAATACCTTGAGAAAGGTATGAATCTACCTTTATCCCCAGTTTTGACTTTTATCACTAATCCATTATTATCTCAGAAAATAAATAAATAAATAAAAATAAATAAAAATTCTTGCAATCCAAAAATAATTTTCTGGCTTTAAAAAACCTGCAATGGTTGCATAAGCCGTAGAAAAATAATCAATCTATGTTTTTGCTTGGTAGTACATCAGACCAACTACCACTGTTCCCCTCTAACGTGGGGGGATATGGTTTGATTTGTTTTGTTTTACGGTCTATCAACCACAATGGGTTATTTAATGCCGACAAAATTTTCTTTTTTTTTTCAAAAATGTATAGCTGGTAATATTTTTTTTCAAAAATGTATATTTG